AGATTTCCCTAAAAAATGGCTCATATGCTCACACAATGCATTAGGGTTTCGAGATCTAGGGTTTGGGACTTGGAGGCTGGAAATGAGGCCAACCTATAGAGGTTAAAGTGTTTAAATAGGGTACAAATGAGGCCAGCCTATAGAGGTTAAAGTGTTTAAATAGGGTACAAAACCCTTAAAATTAGGGTTTCATCTTCCAGCGCCAACTCGTCGAGTTGATCTTCCAAAACGCGCATGTCCCATATTTCCTACTCCTCGAGTTTTTTCCTTAAACTCGGTGAGTTGACCTTTAGAATTGATGTTTTATTTCCATAATTACCCCTCTAAATTCTGGGTGTTACATGTATGGTGGAGAAATTCATAGGGAGGTGGAAGTTGGTGGGATGGTGAAGTTGTTTCAGAGGGTGATAAGAGTGTTGAGTTTCCGGGGAGTCCATGGGAAAGATTTGTTGTTAAGTATGCAGATGAAGCTGATGATGTTGAGCCTAATCGCATAGTTCATGGGAGCTTCATCCTCATAAAGATACCACTACCAGCCAATGGGAACAACCACCCCCGGCCTTCATCCTAACATCAAGAAGACAATGCTCTATTTGCTTTCTAAGCTACACCACTCAGCTTCAGCTAGGAGGGGTAATCAGGTACCTACCTGCTAAATCTTGTTTCTTTTGATCGCACAAAGCCAATATCTAATACATGGCATTTCATTGCAGGACCAATTTGGGATCATCAAGTTAAAACAGATTTCACAGAGAATAGACTTCATAAATAGGTAACGGTTATGCTCCTCAAATCCAAACATACATTTTCATCTAAGATAAATTTAATTGATATATTTTGATTTTAGGTTTCCGGTTCCATTGACTCTAGAGATGATTGAGCTCAAGATAAACAACTATTACTATAGAAGCTTTGAAGTCATGAAGCATGACATCACATTGATGCTATCAAATGTGCGTGCCTATTTTTCAAACAATGCAGAAATGTCCGCAAAGATGGCACGCCTGTCAGACTACTTTGAAACTAAGATTTACAAGTTTCTTATTCATTTTTCTTTATTCCCAGTGTTTGAGCCCCTCAAGAGAAGACCATTTGAGCAAGTAAGAGCAGCCCTTCCTGTTGTCCTGAAGGTTCTAGAAGCCATCTTATCAGATCCAGAAGTGGAAGAAGATACAGGCCCCGTGGATTTAATCAATAAAGCAATATTAATCGCTCATTCTCTTAACACAATCTACATAAAACTAGTCAGTGACACACTTGTAAATATGTCTAAGTTGTCTTAATTCTTAAGTTTCTTCACTACCCATCAAATCCCTGTTATGTTATGCAACAAGATCACAAAGATGAGAAGCTTTTTGGTTTATTTGGCTTGTATGTATTGCAAATTACGGTGATACCCCTCATGCCTATAATGAGATTATTAGTTTCTTTTTTCTCATTTTACCTTCTTCATAAAATGCAGGATCTTATTTCAAATAGTGTAGGATCAGAAACTTCCCAATATACATGCCCTCGATGTAAGACTTGTTATTGTTCCCTTCTATGTTACAAGGTAATATTATCTTTGTTCTTTACATCTTACACAAATTAGTATCCATTTTGAGAATTATGTTTCATAAAGTTAATATTTGTTTGGTTATGGTATTGGACTCCCCTACTATATATGGTTTTCTGAATTTATTTAATAGTAAAATTGTTTTGTAAAGTTTTGTTTTTAATAATCTTTTTTTCAGTCACACAGTATCCAATGCACAAAGTCATTTATGAGAGACAATGTGATGGAGGAGATGAAGCAAATGACCTGGTGATGACACAAAACAGAAAATGCTGGAAATATTGAGACGGATGCATCTTTATCAGAGGAGACAATCGAAAAAGATCAATTAAGGGGCATTGGGCATGACATTGCAGCTGCAAGAATGGATGCAAAGTTAAAAAGTGCAGGGTGGATTAGTGAACAAATGGGTGGTGTCAGGTTGGAGATGTATCATTTTAAATAAAATAAGTGGAAAAAAAAGAAAAAGAAAATGAGTAATATTTATATTCTTTATACTTGAGTTACTTGGAATAGTTGAAAGATCTTGAAGAGAAACTTAGTTAGAAAGCGTCACCATAAGAAACAAACATAATTTATTTATGGAAACTAACATTGGTTTTTCTTTGCTATCTGTATTCACTGTCACTGGTAAATTTTTTATTTTTCAATTAATAACAGAAATAAGTTTGTCAACAAATAGAATCAGATAGTGATGTTGATGATGATGATACTGGCCATGATGATGTGCTTATGAATGTCGTTTCAAATCTTCTTCCTGCATTTGCTAAAGCCATGGGGTCCCACTTTGCACCAATCTTTTCCACTCTTTTTGAGCCTTTAATGAAATTCGCTGTGAACTTTATTATATGTATCTATTTAGTATATAGACATGACGAGGGTATTTTGGTCATTTAAATTATTGTCTTGCAGAAGGGATCACGACCATTACAAGATCGGAAAATGGTGGTTGCATGCCTTGCTGAAGTTGCTCAGGTTATGGGTGCTCCAATTGCTGCTTATGTCGATGTACTTTCTTTAATCTTTCTTGTCATTTTATATACTTTTCACATGCCTTATCAAATGAATATTTCATTTCATGTTTCAGACCATAATGCCCTTGGTACTTAAAGAATTAGGTTCATCAGATGTAACTAATAGGAGAAATGCTGCATTTTGTGTTGGGGAGTTGTGCAAAAATGGTGGTGTCACCAGTCTCAAGTATTTATTCTTCTACTTTCTTCATAAATGATGTTTAAACAATGTTTTGTAATGACTTATTATATTTGTCTCTTATGAATAAATCAGATACTTTGGTGATGTGTTAAGAGGCCTTTATCCAATATTTGGAGAATCAGAGCAGTTTTAAGAATCAGAGCAGTAAGAGAGAATGCTGCTGGAGCAATTGCAAGAATGATTATGGCACAACAGGATTCCATTCCAATAAACTAGGTTCATATATATATATATAATATTATATATATATATATATATATATATATATATATATATATATATATATATATATATATATATATATACACACACACACACATAATAAACAAAATAAATAAATGAAATTAACTTGTATTTATTTATTTAAATATTTGTAGGTACTCCCTGTTTTTGTCAAGGTTCTTCCTTTAAAAGAAGACCATTAAGAATCCATGCCTGTTTACAGCTGCATTTGCAGCCTTGTTCTAACATCAAACCTACATGTAGTATTTAATTGTTTATTTACGGTTTAGCCCCTAAACTATTGTTTATTCCGATTTGGCCACTAAAGTTTTGTTTTATTTTAAACAGATTGCTCCTCTAGTTCCGGATCCCGGAGCTGGTTAATGTTTTTGCACAAGCGGGTTTATCACGAGTTGAAATACCATCATTTTTCACTCAGGTATGATTACTTTCATTTCAATGGAATTAACAATTCCAATCCTTTATTAACTATTATATATATATATATATATATATATATATATATATATATATATATATATATATATATATATATGATATGGTGGATGCAGGTTTTTGGTTTGACTTGGTCAACCGTGACCGGTTTTCCCTAATGGTGGTGCATGGATTTCTTGTTCTAATTTTGATGTGTGGTATTATTTATTATTTTATGTTGATTTATTTATAAGCTTTTACATATGGTTGGTTGTGTTGATATGGTGAAGATACACAATTCTGGTTCATCTCATTTGAGAGATGTGTATTCAAGTGGTGAAGAGTTGACAATAGTTGGGTTGATGCATCTTCAAGTGGTGAAGTTGCAAGGATTAAAGTTGCCATGGAGATTGTCAAAGGAGAAATAACTCACGGGTTCCTTTTAATGTTGTATATGGTTTGTTTTTCTATAATAAATATTATGCAATAGTAGCAATGTATTACATTTACTTACTATTGGAATGATTATTTGTATTTGACATATTAGTGCAATGAGTTATCTTTCTTATTTATGGTATTTTATTTTGTATTAGATGTGTTATCTAATTTGAAAAGTAGTAAACTATTAAAAAATATATATTTTAAAACATTTAAACTGTATGACACACAAAATGTGTGTCATCTTTCTTTATGATAGGGGCTTTAGTGATACGCAATGCAAGTCGTAAATGTGCGTCGTAAGGCTACGACAAGCGAATGTGTGTCATCTTCTTTATGACAGGGCCTTCCTTGACACACATTGTGTGTCGTAAATGCGTGTCGTAAATGTGCGTCGTAAGGTTACAATACACAAATGCATGTCGTCTTCCTTTATGACAGGCCTTCCTTGACACGCATTTGCGTGTTATGTGTACCATTTTATGGCACACAATGCGTGTCATTAAGGTATTTTTCTTGTAATAATTTTTATTAAATAAGTTTGTGTTCCTCTGGTAATAGCTATCAAATTGTACCAGATCCTTTAGTTCTCTTCCAATGAACATCAAGTTACAAATGTGTGAGCTCCATAGGCGTCATCATACTTTTTTCGAGTTATTTCATGATATGTGTAAACTAAAGTCCCATTCCCATCTACTACTATATTTATTACTTTTTATGCTCAGCATACTTTTTTAGAGTTGTTTCACGATATGTGTATCTATATGGTATGCCCTTTGAATACAAAAATATACATTTATTACATGCAGGAAGATGGATCGCGACAAAGGTCATGATCCGTTCTCATATACACTTTTCTTAATTCATTTTATCATTTTGCATATCGGTTTTAGGACGTGATTTTATCTTTTCTTAGGGACACACATCAAGGTATGAGAAATTATTATAGCCAAAATAGTGGATGATGCAATTTTCTGCATTTCTTATCTCATAACGCTAAACAAAATCCAATAAACTCTAAATAGTTATGGTTCAAGTTTCTTACAAAAATGGGATAATTGTCTCTAATTACAAATGATAAAAAATTCTATCGGTAAGTCACCTACTCATGATAACTAAGAATGTTGTATACAAGTCATAATGCGCCCAAACGAGAAGCTATATCCGTGAACGTATATTCACTACATGGAATAGTCAGGCCGCCCATTGGATGACTATATCCAAATTCTTCCTCAGCCTGATCTAGCAGTTCTTGAAAAGTAGGTTGCATTAAGAACCATACGGGAACTACAAATCTCTTCTTCTCTTGCTCACCAACATAAACCACTAAACTGACTTTTGGGATATCCATAGATTTTGTTGTGCTACTTCCATTTGAGAATGACCGTTTAAGAATTTTCTTTGCTTGAGTGATGCAGGGCATAAGGATGGCCATTTTATAAGGAGGGTATTGTCTATTAACTTCAAACGGCTTATGGTGAATGAAAATTCTTCAAGCACGACTTCTTGGGGAAAAGATGTGAACCTGTGGTTATGTTATCATCTTATGGTTTATATATATATATATATATATATATATATATATATATATATATATATATATATATATATATATATATATATATATATACTAGATGTGTACCCGCGCAAAACAATGGTGATAAATAGCTCTTTTGGTGAATACTTTCTTACAGAGAAATAATTATTAAGTTTTATTGTTGGTTATTATGTTATAAAAAAATTACCACTTTTAAATAAAATATTTATTTTTCGACATTATATTTATATTGCCTTTTTATATATTTGATGTAAATTAATTAATATCGATATCTAGTTTATGAAATATAAATTAATTTATATATATATATAAATTTAATATTTTAAAATTGTCATTTTGCTCCAAATTAAATTTTTTAATAATCTTCCTTAATTCAAGTCTTCAAACTTTTGGTAAGTATTAATGATTTATTTATGCATAATTGATTTGTACAAAAAGTTTTATAACTTGTAACTCTTAAATTTCAAGATATGACTAATATGTTTTATAATATATATATATATATATATATATATATATATATATATATATATATATATATATATATATATATATATATATATATATATATATATGCAAAAAAGCTTTGTGAGATTTATTTTAGATTTCTTATTTCGAGAACTAAAATTGCTAAAAGATACCCGGTTACAACTTTAAAATCATTTCATACATTACTCACAAATAAATATTTTTTCTAAAATAGTTATTTTGTGATTGGTTATAACAATTTTTATATTTATATTTTTTTCTCAAGTAATTTTGTTTTAGTTCGTAATAAAGTTAAATTATTGATATTTTATAATTTATGATTTTAATATGTTATTATAATTTAAAGTTACGTTTTTTGTCCCTTATACAATTTGTTTTTATAGTTTTCGTTTTTATTATATATATAAATTTTTATTTTTATGATTTCTTAATTAATTGTCTTTTGTGGTCCACTTTGCAAATGAGTTATCTGTTGCAACGCACGGAGTACGAAATGCTAGTTTTTAACAAATTTTAACGAATTTTCAATACAATCAAACCATATCAGAGGTATCAAATCAAGTAATCGTGTCGTGTTTTTTTCTAACACCATACGACACTACAAAGTTTTATATAACACAACATGATATCTGGTTTTTTTAATTACTAGCACAAAAACGAACTAATTAAAAAATGACAAACACGATACGACACGGCAAAGATAACATAAAATAATTATTAGTTTAATTAAATAATACTTAAGCATGCACAACATGAGCAACAAATGTTAAATCGTGTCTGTTTCGTGTCGAATTTTGAACACGAATACGACACGACATCGTGTTTTTTATACTTGATACAAACACGAATTCAAATTTCAGTTTTGTCTCAATTTCGTTTCGTGTCGTATCGTTAATTGCCAACACTAAACCACATGCTATAAACTTTAACGATGTCACATATATTTAAATTAATGATTAGAAATTAACAAAACCACACTATATAAATTTGAATATAAAACAATTATACGTATAAAATTCGGATTTGATCCTTATACTGAATCCAAACTGATTTCAAGGAAGTTTTTGAAGATAGATTTGTACCTCAACTTGCTAAGGTGTTGTTTGTTTTTTGTCTGCAGATCTTCTTGGCCTTTTCTGTCTGCGCCGTACAGACCACGAGCAAACATTAGTTTTCACAGACTGTTTGTTTTTTTGAAGACTGCAGACCAAAAAATTTCCGCGCGCCATCTTCTTGGCACAGATGTGGACCATATTTATTACAATAATGGTCGTTGAAGTTGTTTATATAAAAATGAAAAAAAATCATAATATATTCTTATATTTTTTATGCCAAATTTTTTAAAACATTATTAATACAATATCATCAATTTCTTGGAAAAATATTTCTGATACGTTTTTAATTGATTTAATTGACAAAATCAAAGTTTATTTCCATCCATTTATGTATCAAATTCTTTGATTTCTAATTACAAGGTTTAGGTATATTTTTACGACCAAATTTGTTTGTTTTTATTATATATATATATATATATATATATATATATATATATATATATTAATTCGTACCATTTTACTTTTATTTTTTATACAATTATACATAAAAGTTGATCTAGATTTTTTGATTATTTATAACAAAGTCATAAAAATATTAAAAAATCACTTTGAAGTTAGAAAAAATTAGTTTATTTAGATTTTAGTTTATTTTAGTAGCCTGCAGATGTTAAAAAAACAAACAATATTTTTTTTTCAGACTGCAGACGTTTGGTCCACCTCTTCTACTGCAGAGGTTTACAGATGTGGTCCGCAGACTGCAAACATTTTGACCCAGAAAAAACAAAAACACCTAATACTCTTCCAATTTAGCCTTAATCTTCCCTAAACACTTTAGATTCAACTTTAATTGCAAAACTAGCTTGAAATCATCATATGAGCTCCATAATATTTTCCACATCGATTATGAGAGAAAAAATGGATTTCGTGACCAATGGGTCTTTATTTGTTTTATTCCAACTTTGGCCACAAAAGTTTTAAGTTTAGCAAAATTGATAACATATCTCCTAACGTCTATCTAGACACAAGAATGTTTCACATATGGTCCTTCTCCACCACATTTTATGACATCTTCGTCATCGTACTCACTTAAATTGATCAAATTACCTAGTCAAACCAACATTTCATCAAATTGTCACATTAATTTACATTTAAATGATATATGTATTCAATTTTTCAACAATTTTTGATTCTTCACATGGGAATTTAAGTAAATTACTTGTGAGTTTCAATTTTTGTATGATTAAAATATTGAAATAGTAAAATAAAATTCAAGTGAAATTTTCATATATGTGAATTTAGGGGTTGTTTGATAGTTGCTAATTGGGTTAGAGCTGACTGGATTAGAAGTTCCGACTGAGTTTACTTCTAACTGAGACTTCTTGTTTGATTTTGCATCTAACTGACTGTGCAAAATGAATATATTACCCTCAAACAATATTTTTTATAAAAACATTCAACTTATAGTAAAAAAATAAAGAAATTAAAGACTTATAACTTTTGTTCGGAAAAAACCCCCTCACGCAACATTTTTTTATAAAAACATTTCACCATCCTTGTTTCTCCAAACGTTAAATATATCTTTTAAAACATAATAAATTAGGCATACACAAAAATATACACACAAACCATTCATCTGTTTTCATGTGGAAATATCAAATTTGTTTTTATGAGAAATTCATAGCATATAAAAATCATTCTTCTTCGTTTCTATATTCTATTTTTACACAAATATACACACATTTTTCAAGAAACAAACCCCAATCCAAGTTGGAACTTTCACCTGTTATCAAGTCATCTATACTCCAGATGACAATTACTCAAGATATAACGATAGTTTCATCGCCTATCAAAGCCCCAATCAATGCTCCTAATAAAGTACCCGTTGGGATTAAAACCCTAATTGTGATTTGATGATCAAGATGCGGAAAATAAGAACAAACACAAATATGAAGATATGTCGAATGATCACTCGATTTATTCAATTATGAGGAACAGATTACACTTTAAGAATAAGAATCTAACTCTACAAGAAACCTCACAACATGGCGGCTACATTTTGCCTCACTATTAACCCTAATAATGAATAATACATGACTATTCATAGGGAAAAGACAAGTATTGGGCTTTTAACCTACACTTCATCAAGGGGGCCCATTGCCATCATCCATGGAGTACTTTGAAACCCTACAATCTCCCCCTCAAAGTATGGAATAGATAATAAGGCTTCAACTTCCAAAACAAGCATCTAGCAAATAAGAAATGATCTCGCAAGGAGGAATATTTGAAGCAATCCACGAATCTTGATTCTTCAATAGACTTCAACCGCGGGTTCTAGGATATATAAAAACCAAGCACTGAAGTAATGTTTTTAAACTTCATTTTCTGATGTAATCACAAAGATCTTCAATAAAGCCAAACCTTCCATAAAAACCCATTTCAGAATTTAGAAACCAAATCACTTCTTGTCTTTGAAGAGCTCCCCCTCCAAGTCACAATGATCTTCAAATAAGATAATGATATAAGCCACCAAAAATTATCATGTAACAACCCAAATTTTAAGATTCGTAACGCCACTTGATCGATAAAATACTAGAAGTCGGAGATATAAAAAGTCCTTAGAAGAGCTCGATGAAGAACTGCTACTGTAAATGATACTTCTCTACAAAAGCTTTAGAAGAGCTTGATGAAGAACTGCTACTGTAAAAGCTACCTTCATAATTCTACCACAAGCTTTATCAAATATCTTCAAATTTGAAAAGTCACACATCCAATTTCGAATGGCCATACCAAATTCTCCCCCGATTTATAATAAAAAACGTGATTATAAAGCCTTCAAATGGTCATGAGAATGATCTTGAATGGATAAATAATTACTGTGCTCCCCCGTGACAAAATGATATACACAATGAAGTATAAAATTCGAAAAAGTCGTGAAAATTTGTCGTTATCACGAAAAATGACTTTCCGAACCGCCAAGACTTGATGGAATCTTTATTTTGCTGTTCACAAAAAAATATATGCATTAAAGAATTCAAAACGGTTCACCAGCCCTCAAATTTGTAAACTTTTCTGAATATTGGGCAGAAACTGTCACTTGCTGAAAGACAGGGGCGGGAATGGTAATTCTGCATCAATATACCCCTTTATTTGTAACAAAATCTGGAAATGGTCCAAAACTGCCAACGCATGAAAAGTATTGGGACCAGATCGTCAAATTCTTGAAGTTGAAGGGACCAAGTGTGAAACTTTGAGTTATCTTCTTCCCCACAGCGACTTAAATGAATGATTTCAAACGAATCGTCACAAGCGAAACCACAGATACGATACCGATCA